AATATCTAATAACTTAATTAAATAAGACAGAATTAAAATTTTATTTTGAAAAAAATAATCTATTAATATTTATCTGATGTACCAATACTATAAAATATTTTAATTAATTGAATTATAATTACTATCATTTACTTTTTTTCTTTTTCTAATTTTCTTTTAACTTGTTCAGATTATATAATTTTTATAAATATCAAAATCACAAGAAATTAAATATTTATTACAATCTTTTTGCACTGGACCATATTAACTTTTTATTTGAGATACAAATATTTTTGCTCTGAATTGTGTCTTGTTATAATTATAGTTTATATTTAAAAATGTAATTATATAAAGATTTGATTATATTTATTTTATATTTTGTCATCAATCTTATTTTAATCTCGTTTTATTTTTTTAAAAAAAAAATAATAAACCTCAAAGTTTGAATAAATATCATATCTTTTTCTTGTCTTAAAAATCAAGAATTTTAGTTAGATCAAAATAATTTTGTTATATATCGCTTGTTCGTTCTTGATACATCAGGAGTTATTTTTTTTTAATGGACTTTTGATACTTTGATAACGACTTCCTATGAAAAGTATAAGGGAAGTACTCGAATAATAAAAATTTACAGAAAAATGCAAGCACTCTTTAAATGCTCTCCCTAAATGCATGGTTTCAAGAGGGGTGCATTTAGGAAAGGTTTCTCTATATAACTAAAAATATCAAGTAACACCAAACTTTAGCTATTTCGCGAGACGCCAGATGTGATAAACGTAAGCCACATGACGTCACATAAAATGATACGCGTAAAAAGTGGATTTCCTAAGAATTTATTGAGCATTCTTTTCTGTTTGTGACAGAGGCGATTAATTCTATTTTTGCGAGGATCCTGAAAGCCATTTTGGATGGTTGGAATGTTAAGGACAGTGGGTGCTTGCACCATTGGTCGTGTCGTGCTCGGAATAATAAATAACAGAAATCGAACAGGTTCTATACAGTCAAACCTCCCTAAATACAACCTCCCCCTCTCTAAATGCAAGCTCAAACTCTCCATAAATGCAATATTTCTTATTGTTCTCTAGAGGTCTGACTGTATGACGGACATGCAGAAAATCATGCTGAACATCTCAGTGTTATATCCCGAAAATAGCTATTCTCATTTTTTGATCTCATCTGTTGGATGGTATGCTTATTTACTTAGGCCACTTCATCTTTCAAGATTAAAAGCTTAACTCATTTTCGGGGATATACGGTATTTTGGGGTCACGAAATGAATTCTGACTTCATGGTCGTATAGTTGAGGGCACCATTAATCGGACTGTGCGAAGAGTATAAAATCATGCTTCTCGAAGCAGAAAAGGATTATAATTTTCATTTGTTAAATGTATGAATGATATCGTTGAATTTTGCTATCCTTATTTTATGTACTTATCAAATACAATTTCTTGCTTTAATTGTTTTTAGACAAACTTGTGAATTCAAAAAGTAAAGATTGACATCTTGGTTATGATATTTACAGCTCCCAATGAAATGAGTTTGAGACACTTTTGGAAGTTCTAAAGGTACTTTTATTTTTAATTGATTATATTTTAAACAAATGGCTATCTAATTCTTTAAATCCAAAGCGTTTTATTGGTTACTTTCTACAGTTTAAAAGTAGCGGAGATGCTGTTTACCAAAATGGTTCAATGGATTGCGATTCATATGGCATGTAATGAATGGCTAGGTTAAAACATCTCAGCAAATATCTCCTGTAATACATAAATAAATGATCACGAGACAAAACGAAATAAATTTCACGAAAAATATTGTGTTTAGTCTCGACTGCGGCGATGAGAAAGCAGGTAAATAAAATCGATTTGACCGAAAGGATGATGTTTAGGTATACATTTTTCCTTTCGAATATGCTTAACTTCAAATTCTTTTTCTAGTAGGGCGACGACGCCGAAGACTAACACCTATAGAATAACAACCTTTGAAGGAATGGGATGAATTTTGACAATTAAGTGAAGACACCGGATATACATATTAACGTAAATAGTGGTCAAGCATTTTTTGTATTTAATTCTCTTTCCTCGCTTGAATTGGAATTTTATAATTCTAAAAAAAAAAAAAAAACATGGGAACAAAAATTAAAAAGGGGAACGATCTGTCTTCTGGTCATTTATAGCAATACACTCAGAATTTCGTCATATTAAATAAGTAATTACCAACATAATGTACAAACAAACGCCTTCTTTACCTGACTTATCATACATTTTATCAAGAAATACCCACCACCAAACAAGTTCTCAAAATCAGAGAGAGGCGAAGAAGGAATATCAAGAACGACGTCAACAACAACAACAACAACAACAACAACAACAACAACAACAACAACAACAACAACAACAACAGCTATTGCAAATACTACAACCCATTGCTATACCAACTTCAACACGAATAATGATGACAACTACACCCGAGGTAGTAGTAATTCCTAGTGACGATGAAGACGATAGCAACAATAACTTTTACACTAGACCATCAAACTACGAGAGGGTTACTAACAATAGTAATAATAGTTTTGGTGGCATCTCGTATGAAAATTTACATTTTTTGGGAGGGCCAACTGGTCAAGTGCCTATTGCTGACGAAACCTCCTCTTCCCTACGTTCATCGTCAAGTATTATTTTTGGGGACGCTACAAGCAGCAATCCTCGTGATAATCTCTTTTTACATCCAGCCCCGACAACTGTTATAAATTTGAGTGTTCCTGGCTCGCAACCGACAAGAGCTGTTATTAACTTGGACCAAGAAGGAACGAGTATACGTGGAGATGGTATAAGTAATATTCATGTTTCAAGTCGTCGGATACGGAATACGACCAATAACAACAACAATAACAACAACAACCACAACCACAACCACAACCACAACCACAACCACAACCACAACCACAACAACAACAACAACAACAATAATAATAATAATAATAATGGTGTTAGTAGTGGTAGTGGTTTGATAAGTAATAATACCGGAGGCCCAATTCGAAATCGACGAACTATTACAGGTTACTTTTTCTCAAATGATCGATTCGTTGTTTGGAAAATGACTTTAAGATATTTATATAACTTGGATATTTATTTAATTATATACACGCATAGATTTCTCAAATGGTCTTACAATTAATGGAAACTCAGACTCACGATCTTCTCGTCATCATCAACACACTTCCGCCTTTCATCCGTACCAAACTGTAATAGAATTCAGTGCCAATAGTAATAGTAGTAATATCAGTAGCAGCAGCAGTAGTATACAAGGAAATGAACTTTCTACTGAAAATAATGGATTAAATAATATTATTATTACGACGACAGGTGTAATAAACCCAGAAGAATTTAATTCAAGCATCTCGCCTCTAAATAGCAGCAACAACGGTAACAACAACAACAACAACAGCAATAGCAATAACAATAATAACAATAATACCAACGAATCACGAAACAATTCGCATTATTTTGATACACATAGCAATCGAAATATTCTGATTAATCTCAATAACAACAATAGCGGCAACAACATTACTTCATCCAATAACAACGACGATGTACGCATTATAGCCATTCCTCGCAGCAAATCCAATAATAATAAGCCACCACCTGAAGGTCATGTCAATGATTTGACAGAAACAAGTATCGTCATCTGTTCCGAATGTGATGAGCCACTCAGTGAAGGGCTATTTGTTCTAAATTGCTCCCATGTTGTGTGTACTCCTTGTGAGAGAAAACTCAAGGAAGGAAAGAAAAAAACATGCCCGAGCTGTAATTCAAGAGTAAAGAAAACCTTTCCATTGTATGTGTGATGATGCGTCATAATCTATTGGAAAACGGTAAATAACAGATCGGCTATTTGTTCAAAAAAATTTTTGCTTTTGGATTTTATTTAATTTTCTAACTTAATTTTTTTTTGTATATTAGGATTTGACACAAGAAAATAGTAATGTTGACGATATAACATTCAATTATATCCTCAGTGTAACTGCATTATATTATATATTATTTTTGATTTAATATCTTTTAGTTAGACTCTCATCGAGCCATTAAAAACTCACAGGCTACAATTGCATTCATGTTAATACTCCAGATAATTAAAACTATACATAAAGGAAAATAAAAACCTACACACTGGCAAAATTCAGAATTTACAATTAATTTACGTCACATTTACTTTAAAAACATGAATTTAATTAATATCAACTGTCGGCTTATTCTTAAACTTTTTACTCGCACGTGCCGATGCTCGATACGCGAACTGATCTCCGTGAATTAGGAATTGAGCGTCGCGTAATTCGAATGTGAATATAGATTTGGCTTTAGGGATCCCTTTAGCGTTTTTTTTTTGACAGCGAAAAAAATAAGGTAAATTTTCTAATCTCGATGGATGATATAGAATTATAGATTATAACAATTACTTTTGCAGATATTTTTTCGCGTAATCAATATGAATGTATTCTCGGTCTCTTGAATACAAATACCAGAAACGCCAATATAAGAGGGACATTTTGATTTGGTCACTATTATATAATCATAATAATAATAATAATGGGTAAGCACGGAAAGAAGAATAAAAAAATCAAACATTGAAATAATGATTTTAGTACCGGTAAGTTTCGCTCCATGAAAATCCGCCTTAAGGAGCTTCGGCGCAAGCGCACTTTCCTTAGACCCCGGTGGACCCCACAACTCTTCCATATATCCCATCCAAAGTGCGTTCAGCTGTTCAAAATACTCATACTTACACGCCTCTTTCGGCAGCTCGTAAATTTTCAATTGCCTTTTTTCTTTTGCAGTCATTGATTTCCCCTTGATGATTGCGCGTCGTTTCAGTTCTCGTTTTTCTCGTGTCTCACGTGATGCTTTTGGCGGATTGTCGAGCAGTAATGACGATTTGTCCTTGATTTTCCCCGAGTATACCCGCTCAGGGTCTTTTGCTCTTGAAGCCACTGCATCAGTAACGAAGGTCTTTATAAAGTCTTTATTGGATAATGGTGATGATGATGTCGATTGCTAGATGGACGAGACAATCCTTGTAGATTTGGCATTACATTCTGAGTCCCAACGGAGAAAATTAGAGAAAATAATTTATATTTACTTGATCCGACTTGTTTATATAATTTGGAAGTGGCGAGTATAAAAAACTCTCGGTCTCTGATGACGGTTGCTGTTTCGACCCTGAATCTTTTTTGGCGGATGATTCTAAATATTGGCATCGAAAATTAACGTCAATTGCTTATTAGCTCAATTTTTGTGTTCTTTAAAAACACAAAGAACAGTTTGTCCAACTAACAAAGAATAAACGCAGAAAAAAAAAATTCACGCAACCTGCCATGTTTGTGTCATCCACCAAAAAAAGCTTTTAAATAAAATTTAACGAAAAAAAAGAACTTGTAACATAATTCTGTGATTTTGGGCCTAATTTCGGCCAGAATCATCATCATTAAAATATTTACTAAATTGGGAATTTCAAAGAGATGCTTAATGAGTTAACTTTTCATTAGGCTCTAGCCAAGTCTGGAATAGGCCGTTCCGGAATAAATCATGCGAAATATCCAGACTTGGCAATGTAGAATGCGTCAGAGCGCATGCGTTGGTATATAGACAAAAAAGGAACCAATAAAGTTACAAACAATTCGAGTTGAATTTATAATGCTGGTCACCGAATCTCTAAGTTTCGGCCAGAATTAAGCGATGAAACATAGTATACGTTCCAAGATTTGGTGACCCACCAAAGTGACGTATCGTCGCATGCATGATTCTTTCGATATGAGGGAATGCATTGACCAAGTCTTCTTTCGGCCAAGAAATCGTAAATCGGAATGATCCAACTGTGAAATGAGTAAAATGACAAATAATGAAAATATGGTTTTCAAAATCAAACCATAATTTGTAGTACAACACGCCTAGATCGAGATTGCAAAACTCTTCCATTTATACTCTCCCCGAATTATTAGAAAACAATATTGAAAAAAAATATACCCATTTGGAAATCTCAATATTTATTATTTCCTTTTATATTCGAGCGATCCTATAACTCGCTTAGACTGTTTTTTCGAATAACAATGTTTTGAAAAATAACTAGCCAAAATTCTTGTAGCGAAAAAAATTGAAGTCATGAGATAAATAAATAAATAAAAAAAAAAAACGGTGAACAATTAACAACTGCCCTTTTGAATGCCGCGTTGATGAACTTACATATTTGATGTTTATCGACGTGTTCGTCCCACCAAAGTCTTTTGAACCCCAATATCCCAGCTTTCAATTTTTTTTATTTAATTCATGACTCTTTTTTTTCATAGACTAAAATGGTCAGAATTTGATATTATCTATGACTGATTCTCCCGGTGATGTTGTAGATAAGAAGAATCTTCGATCGTCTACTTTTCAAAAAAAAAAAAAAAGGTAACAGCGAACGCGACAAACAAAAGTCCGGAAAAATTCAAGACAACAAACAAGCAAATCGATAAGTCCGTGCATGCATAAGAAAACCTGAAGACAAAACATCTGTGCAAAATGTATATTTATGGTATACGAATATTAAGTTGCGTGTGGACCTTTGATAAATATAATTTTCTTTGCATGATTATTGATGTTTTGAATTTTAAATTAAAATCCTAACAAATGGAATATTGAAGATTTCTTTGAATTCTATTTTCATAATAATAATAATAATAATCATTTAGAAATCCACGCATATATTTTCATAAGACAATTTGATTGATTGATCGACAAGTTTAGATTAAAAGAAAAAGTTAAAAATAGATGCTCACTTATTTCAAAGAAACGACAATGTACTTCATTATTCATCTGATAATTTTATTTTTAACTTTCCTGGCTAAGAATTCAGAAATTTCTGAAAAAGTGAAAAAAAAGGTGATAATCTGATAATAAAAAATGAGTCGTGCGACACGCATTTATCACATACAATGTAGTTAAAGTAAAACACATAAAATAAAACTTTTTGATTTTCTATTAAAGGAGCAGGTTGACCGAATATCTAATCAATCAATGGAATAGACCACATGCTTTCATTCACGATTGTTTGTGTTAGCGTTACTGAGACATGCGAGCGAACAGTAAAACAAGGGATTTATCGGATATTCCTTCCGCTTGCACACACACACAAGAGATGGCTCATTAGCCACTTCATTGTCATTCATAAATGGCGGTAAACGTGGTGGCTTGATTGAATGTGGCTAGTAATGCATAAATTACTGAATATAGCGTGTGGCGAGTGGCGAATCAGATAGTTATCCTTGCGTACAATACTTGTATACTTATTGTTCATTCAGAAAGAAATCGTATGCCCGTATAATTTTTTTGTCACCACGATTATGCGTGACATTTGGATAATACGAAGAATGTGATGATTGTTCTGGTTAATTGAAGCAACATGTCAAACAAAATCTACCCTCCTGATCGACAGACAGAGTTAACCCATAACAATATTCACACGCACAGATTACCAAATTCGTAATCTCCCTAATTCCAGTAAAATTTAATCAAGAAAAGAAAAACGTGGTGACTGCCAGAATAAATCGAAACAATAATGTCGACCAATTGTTGATAATCAAATAAATCAATATCATTTACTTTTTAGAGAACTAGAACTGGAATTATATCAATCAAGAAAACTTGCTAATGTCTAAAAAAATTATTTTCACCCTCAATTTCATCCATCTTAATCAATCAAATCAATCATTAATCAATCAAATCAATCATTAATTAATCGTATCGGTACTTTGGTAAAATGACCAAGCTCTTTCTCGAGAAATCGAGGATAATAATGTTAGGCGTGAATGTTCACATCCAAATATTTTATTGGTTTGATTAACACCGTTCATATATGCTTTTTAAATTTTACGCGTCGCACCGAGATAAATAAATATGCGATCAATTTTTTTTAAATTGACATTTTGAATAAAACAATATAAAGATACTTTTTAGGAAATCTTTCATGCGCTTTTCTCGCACTCAACGTTCGTTCGCTGTGTTTGCTTTGTCTCGAATATATCGCCGAGTTTTTTTAATTAATTTGGACGAAACTGTGATTGGTTATTGGACCTGATCTGACACGGATAATCCTTAGTGAAATAAAAAACGAAAATCCATACACACACACACACACACACACACATATATATATATATATATATATTGGGTGACACCATAATCATTGCGTGCGAATCATTTAGCGTTAGTGGGGGGTTTTGGTGGATATTTATGGAATATCACATACTATATAGACGTTATATGATCATTCTATTTATAAATGGAATTGGCATTATACTCATTATACGTTTATATTTATATTATGATCATGCATAAATATATAATAATACATATGCATACACATATTACACGCATAGTGAAGATTTTTCGCGCGTTTTCCTTCCTTCCTCTCCCAACTTTCTTACAAATCTGCACGTCTATCATTTATTCAATGACACTTTCTTTCCTATCTTTTCTCTTACAATTAGTTTTATTGATGTGATCTTTTTATAGAACATAAAATTAAAATCGATGATTTTCTTTGGTCCAACTAAAATAAATAGCGCTATAAGAATATAGCTACTATTACTAATAATAATATGATGATGATGATGATATATTTATTGCGGAGATGATGTACATACACATATTCTGTATTGAAAAGGAGATCTACTAGCTGTTTTTTATAATGAAAAGGAGATCTAATTAATAACAATAATAATAATAATAATAATAATAATAATAATATAATAATAATAATAATAATAATAATAATAATACTAATAAGAATAATAAGGATAAAAGACAAGAAATATGCAGGCAGACATAAAATTAGAGATGTTGTTTATGTAAGAAAAATTAAGAGACGAAATAATTGTAATCAACAAAATAATATTCACGTAAACACAACAGAGTTCTTAGTAGTCTGTTAAAAGAAACGGAAGGGAAACCTCGTATTATATATAGAGTCTCACATGCATTCTATTAATAGGTTTGAACTAACGATTAATAAATAATACAATCAAAAAAAAAAATATAAACATCCCAAGACAAAACAATTCTCTACTTAAAAAAAAACATCACATCATCGTTGAGGTTCGTGACAATAATATACTATTTTTATCAACCATAGAAAATCCACTATATTATTCTTATTTCGTTATTCCCATTGTATAAAAATTCCGACCTGATTCCATAATTTCTAGTCGGATCTTCGCCACATTCAATTATATTAATTGTATTTTTATATTTGTAGAACATTCAAAACGCATATATAATCACCTTACCAGCCAGGGATTTGACTTACCAAAAAACAGTAATCACAAAGATCTCTAATCACAAAAGTCAACTGTCACCATCAATATTCGGAACAATATATGTGTACATATAATATACATATAGCCCACCTATATATATATATATATATATATATATATATATATACACTCCCACATATATAAAAACTTCATTATTGTTAATTGATTAAACTAAAATAAATAAATAATAATAATAAATATAACTCATCAACACGACAACAAAGAAGAAAAATTTTTTTCTCTTTGGTTTGTGTAAACATCAACAACCATAACACAGTTCCTATATTTATTTTTTTTGTATATATAAATAAGTACCCTTCTTATTTCCCGCAATATTTTCCATTTCTCGCTCTCGTTCGTGAGTTCGTACTCCTTAAGAGTTTATCATATCATTCGTATAAATACAAATATATCTATATACGTATACATTTAAAGTCAAAATTTAAGTAAATAATAAAATAAAAAAACAAAGAGATGGAAAACATTCAGGACTTACAGGCAGAATATTACTTTGCTGCCATAAATCAACAAAAAGCGGCGCAACATTACAACAATTTCGTCTCAGGAGCAGGAAATCATCAAACAGCCGAAGAAGCAGCCGTAGCGGCAGCAGCGGTTTATTTTATCGAAAACCCTAACGAATTTAGCCAAGGAGGACCATTTGACACGACAAATTTCTTCTTTCCTAACACCGAATTTACACTCGCCGCGACAGCGCATTCGTATACGCCGTCGTACGGATCTCCGCAATCGTCAATTTACGAATCGATCGATTCATCGGATTATGATGTTTCGGACGGATATTCATCGGCGGGTGGGAGTTCTGGATTGTCGAGTCCTCATCTGACCACCGATGTCATGTTCGAGGAGGAGAGTTTACGACGAAATTCGTTGCAATTGAGCGAATTGAGTGACGAAGATCTTCTTTACGCGTTTAACGGTGGATTTAATTCAAATAGTACGGCTGCCACCACAAACACCACCGCCGCCACGACTGATAATGCAACCTCTTATAACGATTATAGTCAACATCAACCGATTAAGATGGAAAATCCATACCGTGCATCATTAAAACTAGACACGAACATTACGACGCTTGATCCTTCAAATGCAACGATATCTAACGATAATAATGACAACAACAACAACAACAACAACAACAACAATAATAATAATAATAATAATAATAACAATAATGAATTCAACATAACTCAAATTTCACCATCAACATTGGCTCAATGTTTAGTCAGTGACGACAATAATTCTAACATTAATGATGGTAATAATAATGGTGGAGGAGCAGGCCCAATGTTTAGTTTTATACCGGCCACGCCAATCACACCGACCAAAGCTCAGGCTATCGCTGATAGTGTGTATGGAGTCATTTCATCACCTTCACAACAACAACTAATATCAATAAATGAAGAACCAATTGTGACGTCAGAAATAAATAATGATCCTATCTCTACATCGATAGGTTCACGTAACACAAATAACCCCGCCTCACACAGCGCCAAATCTTCAACAACTGCACACAGCCACCCACAAAACTCTAGAAGTAGTGGTAAGAACAATCAACCAAAAGTTGCAACTTCTACCGTCTCTACGACTCCAACTCATCAACATAGGAGTCACCGCAAAGCACTACCACAGGAGATGGCGGAAAGACTTCACACAATGAACCTTGCACCACCAAAACCCCAAAGAAAATCAAAGACAAGCGCACCATTCCACTGCCCTTACGAGGATTGCACGAAAACCTTCACTCGTCAGTACAATCTAAAATCTCATTTGCGCACTCACACAGACGAACGACCCTTCCTTTGCGGCTTCCAAGGTTGCACAAGAGCGTTCGCACGACAACACGATCGTAAACGACATTACAATCTACACTTGGGCTTCAAACCTCATGTGTGTTCTCACTGTGGACGTGCTTTCGCAAGGTTGGATGCTCTGAATAGGCATTTAAGATCGGATAGTGGAGCTCCTTGTGCACAGGCTACTCTGCCTAATGGGGGTGAAAAGAAATTCAAACCGGTCAACATGTAAAAAAGTATGTGCATCTTGTCGTATTGAAGTGTGTGTTGAATTCTGCGCGTGCAATTATTATATATTCTTTTAATATATAATAATAACATTCTTGCTTAAAGCAATAGTAGCCATTTACCCTTCTTCTCTTTAGAAAAAAATCCCAACATTTTCTAGACACATCTCATATATATATATATATATATATAATCATAATTCATAATATATTTTCTTCAGAGATATAAAATTTCTTGTATCTTTGTCGATAATAGACAACCACCACCACCACCACCCATTCCCATCTTCTTCAGCATCTCTTAACAAAATTTATAGTTATTTCTCGGTAATATAAAACATCTCTCAATCTTCACCAGCGACAAATCAGAATATCCTTCTATTCACGCACACATACACACACATATACACACCCACACACCCACACACCCACACACACACCCACACACACCCACAAAAATCTACTTGCAACATCACCACCATTTTTTTTTTCTAACAAAGAATTCAAGAATCTTTTTCTTTGCATCTTGCTTTTCCAAAAAACTTGATGGACAATTATTAAATACTTTGTAAATATTATTTTTCCTTTTTTACTTTCAATCAAACTACCTCAACAATAACTACTACAAAACCAATCAGTTGAGAAAGCTTATATACTTTTTTCGTTTCTTTGTTTTTTTTCTTTAACTTCTCTGTTCTGCTTTGTTGTTTTTTTTTTCTTATCGTTTCGCGTGGGCTTTTTTTTAAATCTTTATATCCACATCTTTGTTATAAAAATGAAAAATCATCATTTCAATTTTTTTCGTTTCTCGAATTTTTTTTTAAAAGTACCGCGCGATTTTTATTTTTGTTTTTTTTTCAATTAACCAAAAAATTTTTGTTTATTAAAATATATAAGCTTTAAGGTTTAAATTCTTTCGTAGTTAAAAATCACCCACCACCATCTCCTCTACGTTTTATGTCCGAGAAATAACTTTAACAAATAATCATGAATAATATTAGATACGTTTTCATAATTAAAAGCTAAATAATGTAATCAGTAATAATAGTAATAATCAGTTTCTTTAATCATAATAAAATTCGAAATTATAAAAAGATTTTATTTAAAGTCTAATTCCTGGGATTGGCAATTTGCATCAGCACGTGGGATTATTCTTGTGATGAAATTGACAGGCGTGCGTGTGAGTGATATTTGCTATTTCTCATTAGAATATTTAGAATTCCATTGTCTCATTATTAATGCGAATGATCGGTTGTACCGTTGGTGGGTGTCTATTTAATTATAAAGCTATTTATAATTTTTTTCTTGGCATGTGTGTTTCGTTTTAATGAGACTGAAACATCATCCAATGTTTTCGATTTATTTTTAGTCTTTGCATGTATTCGTTTATAATTAGATTTCGTTGGCTGTCAAAGGTCTTTGATATACTTTAATGTTAGAATCGTATAAAAATAAATAAAGAAAACGCGCATTTATCTTATTCACATCCGCATTTATACTAATACACGTCTGTATACGTATGTAGAAATTAATATATAATGTCGCATTCAATTAAGACGCGCATTTTCTCAACAATTTTATAAAGATGACTCGTGTCCATGTACTACAAAAACCATAATTTATGAGGCAATCAAGAATCAAAATATGGGGGGGGTGTTTTTTTTTTGCTGTACGTGATGTTTCATTCACTTAATTAAAGAATATTCTGAACTTTTGCCCCGTTTTCCTCCTTATGGTGGTAAAATCAATTATTATTATGACTATAGAAATGGACATGAGAAAGTATTGTATCTTTCTTTTTTAGTATATTTCATTGTCTATTGTCTGAAGAAAGTATCTCATCATGATACATTTTTTTTTTGTTGGCATCGTAACCTATATGCATATTCGAAACCTGTATGCAAAAACAAACAGAGATCATGTACCGACTAATGACATACAGGTGGGTTACCAAACCAACGAACTAGCAACTTCTAAACACAGGATTGTTTGTCTCAAAATATTCTAATATTTATTTTACCTGCGTGTGGGGTGTATGAACCGTGCATCTATGATCCTTGCCTACACTTACCCGAGATATTTTATTCTCCGAATTGCTGATTCTTTTTTTAATTTAAGCATTGTACAAATTTGGTAACAAACACGCAAGATGGCCACTTTAAAATTAAGGCTTTTGTTTTTTTTACCAATCCTAATATGCCATGCACATACACAAAAGATTGCGTCTTTGAACAAAAAAATAGAGTTGCATAATTTTTAATAGGTAGTTTGACTAAATCATATTGTATATATAATACGCACATATATATATATATATATATATTTTTTTTTTCATATGTATGCATATATATACATGACTCGCCAACTTTGTTATAATTAATTAATTCGCCAAAAATGAATTGTGAACATTTTCAGCTTTCCAAAATATGAGCATTCACCATATTTTTTTTCACTTTATATTTTTGGATAAATTTGTTCCATGCAATTGGATTATAATCTTTTTCTTGACTTTTAAACGAATAGATAGATATTCCCTCGCGATAAAGTCTTCAGCTGGCTTCGATATCAATAATGTGTTCTAATGTATCCTTGCTTGTGGTTGAGAAAGAAGCTTTTGATTCACATTCTCGTGGTCTTTATGAAGCTGAGAAAAGGATTTTGTGTGTAAACTCCGATTAGAAACGAAACGGATCAATGGTAAACAATTTTCAATTATTTACTTGTTCACCAAGCCACGATTTGATTTCTCCTTAATACTTGTTGAAAGCATGAAAGGATTTTTGATTCTTCAAGTGATACATAAATGAAAAATCATGAATTTATCGAGTGTAAGATTATTTTACGATGATCTTAAAGTAAAAATTGCTCGGCCCAAACTAATATTTTTTTTCAATGATTAGCAGAATTTGGTATTTTATTTCAAAAGAAGCACTTTTTATCAAGTAAGCTAAATTTCGAAATTTTGATCCAAAGTAAAAAATTTAGAAATTTATTTTATTTTTTATAAAAAATTAATATTAAAAACGAACAAAATATTTGATATTCTAAATCTTATATATTACGAGTTCTCCCATTTAGCTAAAAGAAAGCACAAGAAAAAATATATATATATAAATGATTTTTCATTTAATTATATCCCTACCATTTTAGATCTTTGAATCTCAAACAACATTTAGCCGATTTTGAACTGAGAACTTACATTAGCATTCAGCAAGATAATAATCGGGTTCGGAAATCTAATTTAAAATAACATCAATATATTCTTCATAGCTTTGCAGATTTTTAAAGTCCACTCGAATACTCTTTCTTCGTTTCGCCATGTTTCTATACCATTTTGATAACAAATACAAGTGTCGTATTGTCCTCCAGTATTTCCATCCTCTGCTGATTTTAAATATCATTCAACTACCGTTTACTCTTCTTTTTTAATAATAAATTAAGAGCCTTGCATTCGAGCAACACCGTTTTGAATGGTATTTGAAAACATCACTCAAAAATCTCGATATGATTTTTACTGTATTGCTCGCAAAATGACAACAATGATGAAGAAGAAACCAATTGTACATAGTCTGGCTATTCATATTGATCGCAAAATCCTTCCAAGTGATTCGTCTTTATAAATGAATGCCATAAATTTTTCCATTGTTTTCAAGTTTTATTTTGCATGAGTGATCCCTTGTTCCCTTGTGACGTTTTGAGATATCATATTTTATTGAAAGAAGCATTCATACTAAAGATGGTCTAAATTTTTTTTTAAGCTATTTAAAACACTATAGCTATTTCGGATATTATTAAATAAGTATTTATAATTTAGGATTTTTGATACTTCGGAATCTTGGCGTCGCAGCAATTCCATTACATGGATAATTATCAAAAAGATTAGGTTTATTAAATAAATTCACAATTGATAGCAGAGAGATATACTGATGTTACTAAGCATTCCTAATATATGAAATTATATGGTCATGGAATCTTTTTAAGAGATTCAGACATATTTCAAAGACTAGCACTGCAGTACCAAACCTATTAACCTCGTACATAAACAAATTAAATAGCAGTTTTTATGCTTGGCTGGGAAAAAAGATAATATTGAAGTGATGTAGAAACAATTGAATAACTAAGTTGTTAAAACATAAATTATACGTAGATAGATAATTAAATTATACATAAAATTTCCCCCAATTTTAACAGGATTATTTAACAATGCACGTTGCAATTCCGCGACTTTTGGTCAAAAAAGAAAAGTGTATCGTTTTTTTGAAATAACTTAATCATTGATCCAAGTTCTATCCGCCAAGACATATACCAAAAAAGATAATATTTTTAATAGACCAAATAAAAGATTAGGACAAAGTTCGTAATCAAAAACATTCAAGTGATACTGTAATCAATGTGGTTTTGGAATGTCCATACCACCAACAGTCACTTAAATGTTTCGACGATTTGAAAGGCCAATTCTCTTTTTTTATTGTATTTAATTGAATGAAAATTACTATTTATGAATATAAATAATAATATAAAATCAATCATCTAGTAAGCATAAGTACATGTGCGAAAAGACCTTCCCATGATGCTTGTAGAATAGGTGATACGAAAGCAAGCAGTCTGTTTTGCGCTAGTCCAATTATATCACGGCCTAAAGATATCGAAAATAAGGAATAAGTATCAGTCAGCAAGTTATATAATAGTAAAATTTGCGATCTTTATCCGATCAACAATTTTAATCTTATAATTAGTTATCCATCATGAATTAATTATTTGTACAACAAATAATTAATCTAGTATCTAATTTATGAATTGGTTTCTGTTAATATGATGATGTCTATATTATGAAATTGGAGAAGAGAAAATAAGTCATCTGTTTTTTCATGAGAGTTGAGTTTCCGGCAATTTAGAGTAACTATTCTTAGTGTAGTGGGATGTTTGATACCAATGTTATTATTATTTATTATGAGCTATATGAAATTTTATATAATTATTAGTAAAGGTATAATAATGAGATTTA